AAATGCATTCCACAACTAATGCTATCAGCAATAGATATCAGCAAAGTCAAGTCTAAATGTAGCTGTATTTGCTATTCATTGCCATCTGGGTTAAAGTGGCAATTGAATCAATTTGCATTTTGTTATAATTTTTGTAAATAAATATTAATTTTCTAAATATTTCAAAAATCAACAAGTCTTATTCAACAAAGTATCGATGAAAATAATTCGTGGTACTTTCATCCGAACCAATCCGAAGGTATTGTCCGTCGTTGTTATCATAATTAATTTCAATCATTATTTTGTCAATATTATTCTCCGTCCATATCTTGCCAGTGGTATTTCATCCGACAGTATTGGTCGAGCAGTAAAATATGTCATATATTCGTCGGTCAGTATTTTCCTCATTTACTTTTCCGACGGTATTTTGATGACCAGTATTATGCACATGTAATTGCCCTGTTGTATTATGTCGTCCTTGATGCCATGGTTAATATCCATCAGTATTTTAACCAGGGATATTCTCCATCCGTATTCGTCCAGCAGTATTTTAATCGAAGGTATTTTTCGATGGTAGATAAACGTCTTATTTTTGACCGCACTTATTCTCTGATTACTCATGCGGTATACCTGCTTCCTTCTGCTCCTAGGATTCCAATCACTCCCCCATAAAAAATAATGACCCGAATTAGAGAGACAGGTGCATCGCTGTCATCCACGACCAACGATGGCACCTATCATGGTACAACCTCATCCAAGAGAAATACATTGGATTTAAGAGGTGTCATTGGAAAATTCAAAACAAATCCATCTTCTTCATCCTCTTCACATCAACACAATGGAAACTCTGTACTCAACCAAATCATTGCCGATGAACAAAATTTTCATTTACATCCAATTACAGAGCAAGAAGGAACTTCTTCGGAAGGGGTGAATGATTTGAGTTTTCCTGTTCCTCCAGGTCGATTCAAAGTTCAAATTTCCAACACAACAGCCATGGGTTTAAAACTCTTTTCGTCGGTTATATTGCGAGCAGATGTATCGTGTCAGTCATCGGGATCTTCCATCATGTCCAAAGATGATGATCAATTATGTAATTCAGATAATATTGAAAAAGGAGGTTCATGGAGTACATTAATTTCTACTCCAATGGACTCTCAACAATCCATCATTCGAGTTACATTGTTTTGTGAGCCACCCGATTCCAAGTGCAGTTACAAAATTACCATTCATCAAATATTTAATGTTCTTCATACGAAAGGCTTTGAACTCGGAAAGGGAGAAGAAAATGATTATAATTTTGAATTGCCAATGGGACAATATCATATTCTTGTTCATTCGGTGAATCAAATTCCTTTTCATTGTACTTACAAATTTGCAAATTCAACCAGTCATTCAGAAAAAGATATTACGGAATTGAAAATATTACCACAACCTATTGTGGCAATTATTGAGGAAGATACAGATCAAACCAATCTCACACAACCATTGAATGTGAAAGTTTCTGCTTTCAGTAACAAACCAGTGAAGGGAAGATTATTAATTTTGCAATCAATTGGAGCTATGGAACTCAAAAGAATGCTCGATAGTGAACAACGTGTCACAATTAATGAATACAAATCTCTCATTGATGACTGTTATACAGATAAGAATGTAGAATCTCTTACAGATTTAGAGACCATGCTCGGCGATTTATTAGAGAAAAAAGGTCTTCGCTATCAACCAATTCATTCCTATGTTCAAGCAATGAAAAAACATTTAATCGAATCTCAAGAGCTTGAAAAAGAAGTCAAAGAACTTGTGATGAATAAGAGCTTGAAATCATCTCAACTCGATCAAATGCAATCACAATTCAGAAAATTACGTCATTTAGTGGAAAAACACAAATTAGATACAAAAATTATTATTAATCTTTCAGAGGAAGAAAAAAAGGTCACACACTACAAAGAAATTCTGAAAAGGATTAAAGATTACACAAGTCGTCTGAAAGAATATGTGAATCAATATGATACGTCCACACTCGAAGCACTGTTACATGATATTTCAGAAGACACATATTTACAAGATGAATGTTGTGCGAGTATGGTTCATTCCATGATTGAAGAACCTGAATCCATTTTGAAAAAACTTAAAATTATTGATTCTGTAAAAGAAGATATTGAAAAGTACATGATGGATGAAGATCTTTCACAACTAGAGAAGATCAAGAAACAAATTGATACAACCTATGATTCCTATGAACGTAAATATATAGAAAAAGAATATACTCGGTTGGATGAATCAATCAAAAAGATCAAAACACGTTTACATGCTGAGAAAAAGTTAAGAGAAGCAATTCTCACCAAGCAAACACATAGAATAGGTTCAGATATCAAAGCATTTGAACCATACCTGAAAGGTACACAAATCTTGCGAGATGCAAAAAGAATCATGGAAGATCTACTCGATAATGGAGATGCAGATATTTCCAAATATGTCAATCAACAAGAAACCACTGTGCAGAACAGTGAAGATTTAAATCCGATCACTCGAATGAATGAGACCACAAGTGTCCAATCAGTGCCATTAGTATCAACACCATCAGTCATTACCAAAACTGTATCACACCAAGATCCTTTGAAATTACCTCTCGATCCTATGAAAGAGACCGATGTACTTTCAAAATTACTTCTCGAAGATGATGATTTAAGTGCGAGGGACCCAACAACCTCAAAAAGCTCACTAACGAATCCATCATCATCCAATCCAAAGAATACCTCAATAGAGTCCTCTCTCAATTCTATGGACAAGAAAAAAGACAACCTTTTAGATTCCATTCTTGCTGAGGAATATGATGATGATTATGAAGAGCAAACTACTACGACACCCATCGTGGCATCTTCTCCTTCAGCCCAAATTAGTAATTCTTCAATCTTTAACAACACATCATCCAACAACAATGAACCTTCAGTGATGATCTCGACGACTTTATCCAAAGCTCAGACACAAAGAACGTCGACGAGCTCACCCACACGAACCATTCCTAAAACCTCAAGCAAAATTTCCATACCAAAACGTAAGACCAAAAAAGCAACAACACCTACAACCACTTCGACCACTAGTATGAATGTACATCCAAACACTTCCAATAGTAGTAGTAGTAGTAGTAGTGGTAGTGATAAATCCATTGTTTCCACACCACAATCACCATTTTCACCTCCTCAGGAGCAAGTGGTGAATCTTAACAAATCTTCACTCACCATGACGACTCGTCAAACTCATAACAAAGAAGAAGAAGAACTCTCAGATAGTGACATTGAAAACATTTCTGATGATGAGGATGATCCAACTCCACTTTCAAAACCAGTATCAGTTTCTCAAATCATGGGAGCTATTTATGGAGATGTGTTAACGGAAGAAGAAATTAAAAAGGGTCGAAATGAAACTCTTAGTAGTGCTCATTCAGGAGTGGACATTGAAAGAGCACCTACAAGTGGTGGTCAAGAAGCGAAACAACATTCGTATGATAACACGACAAGTAGCTCACAACAGCAACCTCCATATAATTGTAACTCGGCAACTAGTAGTGAAATTACTACTACTGCCACTGCCACTACAAATGTGGTACAACCTATTAACCACATGACCTCAGCTTTGAATAATAACAATCACATACAATCCAGTAGTACTGGCACAACCGTGCATACCAATCATCAGAGATCATCTTCCAATGTCATTGTGTTAAAACCAAATAAGCAGAAAGTGTGTGCTCCTTCCTCTTCTTTAACAGCACACTGGGAAACAGAGTTAAAACAGAAAGAATCTGTATTGTTAGAAAGATTTCAAAGTATGGTATCTAAACCCATTCACAACGTGCCAGATATCAACAACAAAGATGTTGTCAAATTAATTGCCAAACAACACAAAATATCTGAACATCCATTACTGAACCAATTGCACCATGAAATTTTGATATTAATTAACAGCAATGGTGGTGATATGCAAAATAATGGAGTGATCACAATAACCAAATTTGATTATCATGTTGAACATGATATTGTATATAGCCCTGTCGTTGCATCAGGTAGAACTCTCTCACAACATACTGCACAACATTATGACAACTTTATTAAGACTCTCACAAATGTTTGCTTAAATAGAGCAAAGAAGAAATATTTTGGAATGTCAGAAAGAACATTCTATAACATCCTTCATGACTGTGTTTGTGATGAAAATGCCAATATTCAAGCGATTAATGATCCCAATTTGAGATATATGAATGTTCACAGAATTCATTTACTTTTAGAATATTTTAATTCGAAAAAGTTTGCACAAAAATACCAACAACAATATCAACAAACGAAAGATGTCACTCTCATGGAGTTCTTATTGGACATTGGTGAACTAGTAGATATATTCAACTACTTGTGTAAATATTGTAGCAATTACTTGAAGTCAATCTTTGAACCTACATCGATACTTGTAGACAGTACGCACAGAGACGAATTTCTTTCGATTGTAGAATTACTTTGCCAAATGAGCTTTAAACTAGGATATTCATCCAAGTCCAGGGATGTGTACAATATCAACACATATATTTTGGGAAGCGTCGAAAAAGTTCAGCATTTCATCAAAGTGGCAAGTGAAATTTCGAAGTTTGTAGATTCTAAAAAGGTATTGATGATTGAAGACAGAGTCTATTTAGCTAAATTTGCTCGAGGTAGTATTTGTCCTGCACTAGAAAACTTTTTCAAACAAGGCATCAAATTTCAATCAGTCATGAAAGGATACTATCACATTTGGAATGTCATTTTGGAGCTATATTATTACTTACAATTTCAATTACCAGATTTTGTGAAGTATCGGCTCAACCAAGCAATAGAAGAACAGCGAGCGGTAGATGTTTCCTCTTTGACCAACGAACAAGTTCACTACTTTGATTTTGTTCAGTATACCCTCATGATTTCCAAGTCCATACAAAGTGATGAATTGTTATTCGATCGACGTATACATTTCAGAACATGGATTTGCCTTGCACTCAATCATCACAAGTTGTACAGCTTCATTCGTTTATTATTCAAGAACCACCAGATCCTTAAACGATATTATCATCCGGAGGCTTCTGTATTTAACCCACACGTGCAAGAGGTCATTTTATCTCATGTGAATTCCCTTTGTGAAATTGATTTTGACATCAAGCTCGACCATCAAGAGATGTTTGTAAATCTATAATGATACAGATTGGTTCTTAATGTTGAATCTACTAATTTTCTTTGATACAAACATTGTCAGGTAATTGATATCTCTGTAGCTGACCAAAGACTCGATTTCAAATTTCAATGTTTTCATCTTTTCAAGCTCTGCATAAATCTGGAGAGCGTTCTTGCCGCCTCTGCTCTTTACGTCATGTTGGTGTCTGTCTAATAATTTAAGTTCTTGCTCAGTGACACTCTGGCAGTAAAAGCTGGGAAGATCCTTAATATCATCATACAACAACCCAATCCATTCTATTCTATCTCCCAATGTAGTGCTTTGTTGGATCGAATGCTTACTAAGCTCCACACTTCCATACTTGAATGTTGTTACTATTTGATATCCATGAATGTTGAAGTCACACAGAGCATAGATTTGAGCTTGAGGAAATTTGGATGATATTTGATGCAAAATATATCGTGTAATAATACTTGGATACCCACAGCCGGTAATGATGCAAATATTCCGCACCCATTTGAATATCTTATCCTCGACAAGCCTTCTAAATATCGCATCTTTTTCGACAATTAAGATGGTATCAACTTTACCAAAGAAGTCAATCGTAGGAAAATCGCCTGGAATTTGTTCCACCGTAGATGCCGTGAGATGATGGCAAGAAACCAGAGCATTGCCACTTCCGTCGTTGCTGTACAAAAAACCCTTGCTCATACAAATGATATTTAGGACAGATCGATCCACATTCAAAATGTCTCCAACACAACTTAGGTATCTATTGCATTGATTCTGATCTTTGAACGCCATGACATTCATATAGAACAACTCTCTTTGGGTGATCTTAATTCCTTGCTGTATCAGCTTAAAAATGTTGTTCATCAACAACCAAATAAAGTGGCTTTTTCGTTTTGGAGAAGTGCCGTGTCGTAATGAATAAGTTCCAGAAGCAGTTTTCAGTACATTGATGGGCTTGGTTTGAGATAAAGCTGTGGGTTGATCTTCAGTTTGGATTTCAGATCGGAACTTGTATTTGAAAAGCAGATCTTCCAAGGTCTTCTTTTCTTGAATGAGTTGTAAGAGAAATTCAACAACATGAGCTTCAATGAGCGCTATTAGCTCTTCTCTTGAAAGAATGTAATGAATTTGGCAAAGCCTTTCAATATCAAACAAATTCCAGTCCGTTGGCACCTCATCATTGAGGCTTGGTGTTTCATCCATTTTTTTCAGTTCAGTACAAGCCTTGAATCATAAAAAGGGATGCCCAATTTATTCAGTTTGGTATTTATAAACTATTCAAACAGTTGAAATGATCAAAAGAATGCATGACAAAATACTTACAGTGAGGATTATTTCGAAGTTTGGTTAAGAACTTTTGTAACCAAGTGTCAATACAATTTGTTGGAATTATTAACATATCTTTCATCTCTCCAGTTTGGAATTGAATTGGCTTTGTAAAACTAGCCATATAATTAAATAAATCTTTTGCAATAAACTGAACCAATTGTTGGACTTGATTTTGTTCTCTCTGTTGCTTTCCTTGAGCATTGAACGTTAAATTATTAATTGTATCCATTGGCTCTAGTGATATTCCGATAAATACGGCGTTCGAATCCGATTGTTGAAATGTAAAATCTTGAAACAATCCACTGGAAGAACTTGTGTTAAATGACAATGGCATGTGAATATGAGTGCTTTGCTTTTCCAAAGACAGAAAATCAACATATTCCCAATTTTGGGCATCTTTTGAAATATAAATTGTAAAACCGAATGGTTGGTAAGGTGGAGGAGCCATTGAAGCATTCGGTAAAATAAAAAGACTCATTTCCGATATTGATTGGCCATTGATCTTATCTACAACTTGAGCCATCCAACGATGCTCTCCAACAAGTTGAAAATCTGCAAAGCAGGGCCTTCCTGGAATGATGAGTCCGAACATTTTTTTTAATATTGTTGTGCTTAAAAAAAGTTTCCTTTGCTTCACCGGAAGCACCAAATTCCGTTTGTTCCGAGGTGCAAGCTTAATACATTGCAAAGTCCAATCAAAAAAATGTCCACAAACAACAGGGCAACAGAAAAATTCACAGATGAAGAACGGGAAGAATATGTGACAAAATATCTCTCACTCATTGATCAATACATGAATATTTATAAAAATGATTTAATACCAAATATTAAAAGCGGTCATTTCAATATGGCTGCAACCCGACTGAACATGGGAGCTGAATTTTTAGGTTTGGAACGAATTCCAAATCAAGAAGATATTTTAAAATCAAAAATTCATTTAGATCCGAATACATTAGAAGTGATAGAATTTGAAAATGTTTCAAATCATTTTCAAACATCCTCTCAAAGATCTACGACGTTAGAGGATTTGAAACAAGACACTGATGAATCCTCATTGTCAGGTGTTCGGAAAAGAAAACCCAATAATCTGACGTCAACCACAGAAACTACAACTTCAGAATCATCATCAATTTCTGGATCAAAATTAAATGCCAGCGTCGAAGAGAATTTAAAAAGACACAATCCTATTTATTGGTTCGGAACTCTTCAACTATCGGAAGATCTGGTGCAAGCACAACTACATTTTGTCAATGCTGTGAAAAGTATTTTAGAATTAGGAAAAATTGTAAAAGAAATGAATGAATTGGATAAACAAAAGTACAGATATTGAATGGAAGAAATTATGGGAAAATCTGTACTAGTATTTCATTTCCAGTTTTTCTGTCAATGACCATCTCATAAAACTCATTTGCAAAATCTCCATCTTGATCCATGTAATATGGTTGCTTGCCAATTCGGTATTCTTTGACGTCCTGCGAGGTTAATGGAATATTACGATATTTGTGTAATAAGTGTTCTAATTGATCCATGCTTTTAATTTCTCGAAATGCTTCTTTTAGTGTAGCAGACTGATGTTTCTTATTTGAAAATTTTGTAGAAAGTGTTGAAGTATCAAGCTTCGGAAATAAATGAAGTATGAGAGAATGCAATCTTGATAGGTGTTTTGACGAAATCCAATGAAATCTAGTCGGCCATGATGATACATTGATGCTATATTCATCATTGTGAATTGGTATTGAATCAAACTCCTTGCCTTTCAACAACATTTTTTTTAATAATTAAAATCATTCGTTGATGGTGAACGAATTACTCCATGGGATTCAGAATATTGCGATATAATTTTCCATCTCGCTCATTTCTTTCTGATTGCACTACTATGGAGCATTTAAACAATTCCGAGTCATCGTTGCTATTGCGAAGAGAGGCCACAAGTGAGCCTACATTATTCAATAAGATCATTGGAATGTTTTCAAGAGGAAGTTTGTCAACGGAATATTTAAATTGTTCAAACTCAGTTGATGATGCTCTATAATCAAACACATTACTTTTCCCCACAGGAACAATTTGTTTGCTGTTGGCTAAATCTACAACATAATAAATATTCCAATAAACTTGTTTCAAATCTTGCAACACTCGGAATGTGAATGATAAATCTAGTCCATCCTCAAGCAGGGATTGGAAAGGAATTAATGATGATTGGGTAGAGTTATCAAAAATCGTAACAGAATGTAGATCTAGTAGGCTCATGCAATTTTTTGTTGCAGTCTCTGAAATAATTTGTGGTGTTTTTAAATTTGAATAACGGTCAAAAACTCGAAAAAAATAAAACATGACGAAAGTGATAAGAACCACCCCCATCGATCGGTCCAAGAGAACTGCTGTCAAGGGGGATGTTGTCGATGAGATCAACATCATTCATGGAAAGAGAAAACGAAAATTGAGTCTCAATTTTTCGGACTTGATATCTTCGGAAGTCGTCTCCAAGCCGAAATCGTCTCCGAAACAAACCAAAACAAAGAAAAAGCAGAAGGAATTATCTGACAGTGAGGCGGATGAGGAAAATCCAGTTATTTATTTAAACACTGGAAAGAGTAAATTTGAAGTTGTGGATATGTTTGATGACGAGAGCAAGGATAACGAAACTACAGAAGAGGAGAATTTATTCAGTCAAGAAGTTGTGGAAGATCAATCGAGCAAAAAGAAAACAAAAAAATATAACAAGAAGTCAACCAAGCGAACCAAAGAGACAAGCTCTAAAAAGAAGGAAAAGAAACCAATCTTTGTTGAAGAATTACCACCACAAAAGCATTCTGAATTACCTTTTGAGCCTTTGCAATACTTTTCTAAAAACATTGTAGAACATGTGAAGAAATTAGGTGGCACTTTCCCAACAACTTACAATAGAAACCATCCTTTTATTTATGGAGATCGAACGTATGAACGTTTTGATGAGTCTTTGAGGTTATTCACTTGTATTCAGTGGAACAATCATTTATGTAAGTATTTGCACACCTTTTCACAATGAATGACATTTATGTTGAACATGATGTGAAACACACAGACAAGAGTACTATCTCCAGTGCAATCTTTGGATTAGAATTTTTACTGTTTGTCATGGATGAACAAGACATGACTCATTATGATTTTATTCAAGATCGTAATAGCGAAATTGCTCTTATTGGTGATGCAACTGATACAATTATTGCTGCTGACGTTTTGCCCACAGTTCCTTGCAGTAGCAGTGAGAAGGGAGACTTTTTATTGTACCTAATTTTTGATGACCAAAAGCATGCAGCTCCTAAAGGTGTTTACCTCTCAACATTTTTAGAATCTCTTAGTATTGATACAACTGAGTATTCAGAGACAGATCGAGATAACTTCACACAAAATTAAACATGTAAATTATAATACTGCAGCAACGTTATTCAAATCATTTTGGAAAATGTCAAAGTAGTGACTGCATCCATGATCTTTGAGATAATTTTTGATTGACTCCTCAGTTTCAAATTGTTGAAATTTAAAATATTGGAAATTACGCTTAAGAATTGTTCCTTTCCATAATAATTTAGCAGAGTCAGGTTCAGACCTATCAATGTTTGATTCCTCTTCAGAGGTTTCCCTTTTGGTCCAATCAATTCGATTCAATAAAACATGGTCATAAGCTTTGAGACTTTTTTTTCCTCCCTCAGCAATCAACAATATTCTTTTCTTGTCATTGTTCTGATTTGCACATGAAAGTACTGCTCCTGTAACACCCTTCTCTTTTGCTGTGTTAATTTTAAACCTAGTTTGAGGATGTGCCAAGTTTGGTATTGAATAAAGAGCTACAATCAATTCATATTCTGCATCTTCATTGATTTTCCTTATTTTTCTCTCACGTTTTTCCTCCTTTGTAAGTTTTTGAGCTTCCATTCTCTCCTCATGTGCTTTTACTCTCTCTGCAATTTCCCTCTTAATACGCATTTCCAATTCAGTAGGGTCCTCTCCAGAACCCAAAAGAGCTTTCATATAATTTCCCATGTTCGCTTTGGGAGGAGGAGGTGGAATCAGACCTAATTTAATTTTTCTCTGCTTTTCTTTTTCTCTTTGAATTCTTTGCTGTGTTCGCATTTTCTTTTGTTCCTTTTTAGTTAACATTAAAGGCAATGGGCCAATCTCGACTTTTTTCTTGAGCGGTTCAACAATGACAGGATGTTCTACAAAATTGTGTTTGACCATTTTTTCCTTAATTTTAAATATACTTGATTCTGTGTCATAATCTCTCTCATAGGGATCAATAGATGAATCTACTCGCGAATCATCTCCTTTTTTAAAGCTTTTCAATATTCTTTTATCCCACCAAAAAGCATCAGGTATGGTTGATTCATAGTCTTCCACTCTTCTACACCCTAACATTAAATGTAGCTCTCCAATTTCTTTTTCTTCTTGTATGAGACGCTCTCTTTCTTGTTCTTTTTGTATCCGATCTTGTTCTTTTTTTTCTGCTTCTAACTGTTGTTTAAGAAGAGCCTTTTGGCGCTCTTCTTCTTCTAACTCTCTCATAATTCTTGCTTTTTCAATAAATTCTCCTTTTTCATGAAATTCAAGACCTCTTTTTCGTTTTTTCCGATCTGCAGATGGTAATCCTAAAGAGGGGTCATAAATTTCTTGTTTTTTAATACTTGGAGGTTTTTCAATTTTCAATGCATTTTCTTTTTTTTCCTTTTGTCTTCTTTGATTGATTTTTGTTGTTACAACAGTTTTTCGTGATTGAATGATTTTACCAGTTTCATCTACCAAATTACCAAATTCATCCATGATCACTGCTGAATACGACGTGGGAGCATTTGATGATGTTGTTGAATCCCGAGATGATATTTCTCCATCAGCATGATCGTTTGTCGCGGAAAAAGATTTTTCGGCACTACCATCAACTTGGTGTGATTTACCATCCGAGGATGATGATGAACTGCTCATTGGCTTGCCTCTTCCTCGTCCAGCAAGAAACATTTTTTTTTTAAAGTTGACTTTTAATTCATCTTCAATGAAAGCTAACAAAAGAAACTGTTCATAATTGAGAATACCACCACCTGATTCTCAACGTTCATTCCAACCAATATCCAAAACAATTCTCTCTGTTCATATTCCAAAAAAATACTCCAAGTTGCCAACGGTTGTCTCCTTTTCGAAAAAAACGAATACAAACTGAATCTCGATGCCTATCAAATATTTTCTCGTTACCGATGGTGCCGATGTTGTTGCTGAAGCACCAACTCAGCAAAAACTCAGAATGATTCTCATGGATAAAGTTGTACCCAAGTTGGAGAGAACAAATCATAAGAGAGTATTGACCAATGATGAGTATGTGTCTATTGTTACTTTCAACTGTGATGATATATTTTGTGTATTGATTACATGCCTGTATGGTGTTTGGATTTCATCGTTACCCAATCATAATAATAATTTGTGTCAACCAAATCTTCATTGTATTCGTTCTCTATCGGGCTATTATCGACCTAAAATTATGATGATTGGAAATGATGCGTCAAACGATCACAAACAATGCCAATTACTTTCAATGTTGTCATAATTTACATAATTCATCATTTCATAGTAACAATATTTATGTAAAATACAGTGGAAGATATTATTACTTTTGTATCGCAACCCAAGAAATCAAACAAAGAGTTTGTTGGAACTTGATCGATGAAGTTGAAAATGAAACATTGAAAAATAATTTGGACAAAAGTCTTTTGAAGGAAAAGCTAAAGTTCTACAACAATCCCGATAATGACAAAATTCAAAAGTTACAAAACGAGATTGATAGGGGTATGTTATACATTTGAAATAGAATCTTAACACTTTTGAATCACTCTACTTCTCAAACAGTTCGTGATGTCATGGTAGAAAACGTTGATAAAATCTTGGCTAATCAAGAAACTATGAATGGTTTAATTGAAACCACAGAGGAACTCGCTCAACAAGGTGAAGAGTAAGTAGTTTGTTCATTCCCTTGTGATGTGACCTGTCACACTTTATAGATTCCAAAGAGGAGGAAGAAAGTTGAAGTGGAGCATGAGAAAACGTTTAATTATCATCATTGTTATCATTATCATGGTCGTTTCAATCATCCTTGCAATTATCATTATTATTTTGATCGCCTATTTCGCTCCAAGAGCAAACAACGGTAACAACAAATAAACCATTTGCTTCTTATTGTTTCACAGTATTTCTCGTTGTTTTTTATACCAGTCGTTGATTGTTGTTGGTTTTGTTTGGGTGATCTAACTCCTTGACAATTAATCTAATGACATCTTCAATTCTCCTCACCACGCTAAAGTCAACACTTTCAGTGTTAAAGTTTTTCAATACTTCTCTCAGCTCGTCATGTAAATATTTAATGTCTTCTGCTCTAGCTCCAAGATCTGGCAACTTCTCACACAAATCATAATTATGTACCAGGTAAGCCATTAACTCTCCAAGCAACGTATCAAGTACGCTCAAATAGCTCACCGTTTTGGCCTCTCTCAAATAATGATCTTCCTTGTTGGTTTGAATTTCAGAAGCCAAATTGTGAAAATCGAGAGCCAATTTAACATTTCTTGATTCAATCTCTTGACGAGAACGTTCACAATCCTCTAACTGTTTGCGTATAGAGTCCATTTCCATTGCATGTGATTCTGTCAAGTCTTTAATGTTACCTTGAGCTCTTTCTAATTTCTTGTTCAAGGTTTCAACTTTTTTTTCAAGCTCACTACGTTGAGACTCTTCCATCTGCGACGAGGTCATGTGATTCTGAATCATCTCACGTTTCTCATTTTCCAGTGAATGTAATTTCTTTTTAAGGTCAGAAATTTCTTGGTCTTGTGAGGAAATTGTGGATTGTCGTTGTTTCTCTTGCTCTTCATGTGTCGCTTTGAGACATACATTTTCATTTTCCAAGTCAGAGATTTTCTTTTTCAGTTGCAATTCATTCTCTATCAGGATTGAATTTTCTTTTTGCAACCCAGAAATTTGTTTGCGCAATTGTTCAGTATCATCTTCATAGTCGTTCTGTAATTTGTCGGATTTTTGTAGGACTTGTTGATATTTCTCAATGGTATGTTTGTGTTCATTTTGGAGTGATTCGTACTGCTCTTCCATTAAAGTTTGCTTCTCTGTCATTGTTGAGATTTGTTTTCGTAACATGTTTAACTGAGTTTCATAATCTGAAATACTGGACCTTAAAGTTTCATTCTCTTTGAGTGTAGAATTTTGTTCTTTCTCTATGCTTGTTATCTTTGTTTGTAGATTTTGAATTTCCATCTCCAAATTGTGTTTGTTTCGTATTTCCAACTCTAGTTTGTAGTTGTCATGTTTGAAACGATCAATCTCAGATTTTAATGAATCTACTTCCATGGTTAGATTTTGAATTTCTGTCACGCTCTCCAAGTAATCTTGTTCAAAGTTCTTTTTCTCGCTCTCGTCAATGTTATCTTTGCTTGATTTTATCTGTTCAATCGAGGATAGCGTTTTAAAAGTGAGCATGGAATAGTATGATATTTGCTCCATTTCTGGAGATGAGTACTTGATCCTATATTGTTCATAGAGAGTGTTATATTTGATAATTGTAGAATTGAATTCTGACTCTGAGAGTACAATATCTGGTGTTTGATTACATTGTTGTTCCATCTCTTGCACACGATGACTCAGTTGAGGAACTAGAGAGCATAGATATCGATAAGCATGCGTTTTTTCAAAATCTTTGATCATGGCTGTGAATGAGGACCTCCTTTCATTCTCCTGTCTGATGAGTTTATTCAGCTCATCAATGGTTGTTTGGAGTCTTCCACAAAATAAATTTCGTTGATGCAATTCTAGAAGAGTCAAATTATAAATATCATCCATATGGTCCATCGCCTTGTCAAAAAAATCAGTCCAATTTTTGTAAACAATAATGATCACCACAGCACTTACCTTAAATCGAGGATAAAAATGGGATAAAATACTCTGAGTGTGACTCAGTTTGGATAAATTCAAAAATTGTTGATAAACGTCTGACATTAGTATAGTGTTCAATGTACTTCGCAGCTCTATGATACAGTTCATCCATTTGTCAGGATCATCTCGTGTAGCAGTCATTTCTAAAAACAAATTTTCAATTTTGTCTGTGTTCAAGGAAATGCCAAAAGAGATCTTATTCAACTCTTCCAATCTTGGATTAAATTTTTCTATAAATGTTTTCATTTGCTCTTGTACATTATTGAAATGTTCGTTAAGTGATTTTGGGTGTCCCATATTTGTAATATTGTTATTCACATAAATATTTTTCAATTTAGAGAGATTCATTTTCGTTAGTTCAGGAATTCTCTTCTTAATGGTCTCAGTGATTTCTTGAGCCTTGTCTTTCATGGAATTAAAATATTTCACTATTGCTTGAATAGCGTCGTATTGTTTCATGCAACAATCTAACAAATCTTGAAATAATCGTTGTTCATCATGGGTGATACTCTTTTTTGATTGCTCCTTGATTTCCATACATTCTTTGAGAGTTGTATCTAACCAATTCTTGGCGATAAACACAAATAACTGATCACTATTTTTAAACTGAATCCATGAGGAATGATTAAATGGACGAATTGTTCAGACAATTTGTCGTGATCATCCTTGTCACAACAACTTACCATTTCCGAGCACATGGAGTCGTTTTTCAGTTTCTTTCCATTTCTATCAATGATTAACACCACATCGGAATGAACATTAAGAGTCCTTGCGACAAAATCAATCACGTCAATACCTCTAAAGCAATTATGATACTTGTGTATTCAAGAAAAATCCTACCTCTTGAAAATGGGTTCTAGAGAGTCATTATTTTCAATGATTGAACCTGAATTTGCCAAATATATTCCAATTTGATTTAAAGAAGTTTCACTTTCACTATTAGCCAAATCGCAACTGCTGTTGGAACTATTACTCATCCCAGAGGAATAACATGACGGAGGAGAAGTTTCGGAAACGGGTGATTTGAATCTAATAGAGGAGGAGGACCTTCGTTTTGATGAAGGTGTTCCTGTTCTTGGTTGGTTGTTGTCATTATCGTGAATCATTTTGCTCTTGCAACGATTTCAAATAAAAGGCTTTGATGATCACGTTGAAAATACAAGAAGCGTCAATCGCTGGAGATGGTGTATGATTTTTTTTAGAATGTTGCAAAGTGCCAATCGAATTCACATTCTCTTTCGAACCAGATGATTTTCAGCAAGCCAAGTAGAAAGTCTCATACTCGTCCCAAGCACCACACTCTAACGTTACCTGCCCTCGCAAAGGAAACCTCTTTTGAACTCGAACCCAAAACCAACATCTCAAAAAAATGAAAAAAACAGCTCTCGCTTCTCAAAAGTTGTTTGGGAATTGTTCTTTGGTTGCAACAACAAAACCATCATCAACCTACTCCTTCTTGTCTCAACATCATTACAGAACAGAAACAAGTGCATGGTTTTCTCAGTGCATCACTCTTCAGAGAAAACCTGTTCGGGTCATTGTTTCAAATTCCAACGATCCCTATTTCAATTTAGCCACCGAAGATTATTTGTTTGTTGATGAGGCGAGTAAACAAGTTGAAACGTTGTTTTTGTGGAGAAATGATAGGACTGTGGTGATTGGAAAACATCAAAATCCCTATAAAGAATGTAATATTTCAAAGATGAACCTAGATGGAGTCAATCTAGTTCGACGACGATCGGGTGGTGGAGCAGTTTATCAAGATTTAGTAAGTATTAATTGAGGACTAGATAATAAAATAGATCCACTCTCAATGAACCATTCGATTTTATCACTTTTAATAGGGAAATAGTATTTTTACTTTTATTTCTCCAAAAGAAGATTATTCAAAAGAATTAAATTTTCAAATTTTGATGGACGCACTTAAACATAGTTTCAACATTCAAAGTGAACTCAGTGGAAGAAATGATTTAATTTTGTCTGAGTGCAAAAGAAAAATTAGTGGATCTGCGTTCAAGCAAGGAAAAGATGTTTGTGTACATCATGGTACCATGTTACTCAATCTTGACGTGAACGCATTACAAAATTATTTAACTCCACACAAACTAAAGTTATTGAGTAAGGGAGTAGCTAGCGTTGCAAGTAGAGTTTGCAATTTAACAACAATTTCTTCAAACATTTCTCACGAATCTCTTAATACATCAATCATTCGTGAATTTTGTAAGAGGCATGATTTTGATCGCCAAGTTGAAGTAGAGGCCATTGATCATAGCTCTTTTGCAAGTAACAATGGATGGAAAGATTTTTACAAACAATTAAGCGATCCAGAATGGAATTATGGTATGACACCAGATTTTACATACAATATCGAAACCAAATTTGATTGGGGACTTGTTGATCTTCATATTGATTACAAATCAGGGAAAATTTCGTCTGTAAAAATGTTCAGCGATTCTCTCTTTCCAGTACTTGTGGAATCCGTTGAGGACGGTCTCGTTTCACAAGAATTTTCAATGAATGGAATCAAGTTATTCGAGTCGTGGATGCTGGATGTGAAAATACCTTCTCTTCCTAACATTGATGACGCATCCAAGCAATTATTACAAACGTACACCACCCAACTTTGTGCATGGATGTGTATTGCTCTATTTCAATAAGATCTCCTGCCATCTCTGTTGAATTGGCGTTTGAATAAAGCGAAAAATTGGCTGTCACTTGTCCAAGCATCATAAAAAAATTTCTCTTCTTCACCATCATCATGAGTGTATTGCCCCAACCCGCTGTAGAATCCAAGCACCACAAGAGTGGTCAACGGCTCAATATCATGAAAGAAATCCTCGACACCGAGAAGAATTATTTAACGGAATTAGAGGTTTGTATGACCAATATTGCGCATTCCTTAAATATACAATAATAACACATTGGAAAAATTAACATTCTTTTTACACTGGTCATGATTGATCAACAATGGTTCAAACATTTATATACTGAACTGTGAATTGAAATTCGAAACGCCATAAAATCAACTCTAATATAATATAGCTATTAGAAGAATATTATGCTAAACCTCTTAAAGAGTTAATTGGTAAACAGAAATTCATCACTCAACCACTGTACAACAAGATATTCAAAGGAGATTTGGTCATTATTAGAAAAACAAATTCGGAATTGTACAATGAATTAATAGAAAATTTTGAAATTGAGAGAGCCAACAAAGTGCGTATGTATCAAGTCTAACGTCTGTATTCAATGGTCATTTCTAATATCACTACTACTACTACTACTAACGACTATACTACTATTCCATCATGGTGGTTGGATAAATGTGTGGATCCTATCATTGCTATTACTATTACTATTACTCTCGTACAATGACTTGTATCCCATGTGAAATGTTCATCACCACTCCGACGACTTACAACTTTCACTCCACACAACTTTCACATTCTGAATGAATAGCTAACAAAACATTTGGACAAATATTCCTTCAATACGCTCCCTTCATTAAGGGATACACTCGATATTTTAATGAATTTGACAATATCAATGCTACTCTCGAAGATATTCGTAAAAACAACAAACCTCTCCAATTATGGTTAGATACACAAAGAAAAGAAGCTCAAAACAAACCATTAGGAGGACTTTTAATCACTCCAGTTCAACGTGTTCCTCGATATAAATTATTATTAACAGAATTAGTGAAATATACTTCTCCTTATCATAAGGATTATCCCATGCTCACCAATGCACTTACTCAAATTTCAGAAGTTGCTACAGAATTGAATACGAAAATGCGTGAAAGTCAAAATCGATCTAGAATGTATGCCATTGATTTATATCTCAAAGGAAGAGAAAAATTAATTGAAATGGAACCAAACAAACAAATTGTTCAACCTGGTAGACTCTATTCACAAGAAATTCCTCTTCATGCTGTGTATAGTAAGAAATTTAATGTGAATATTAGTCATGCTGTTTTGATCTTATTTAACAACATGTTTATTTTGTGTAAGAATTTGGAACCTGAGAAATCCACAACGTTGGAAGAGTATGACGGAAGAACCATTTTTAATTATGAAATTTTTGAATTTGTTTTTGAGCCAGTCCTGTGCGACGCTCGATTGGTAGAGAAACAACCCGATCAATATCCATTCCCTTGGATTATAGACATTCCATCCGAAGAAGAAAATAGAATTGAGGAAGTAGTGAATGAGAGTGGAAATAATACTCCAACGTCGTTATCGGGTAGCAACAATACACCACCGCCACCACCCCTCTCAGTGCAGCAGACCAATCGATCGTATAGTGTTGCTGCTTCTACTACTGCTTCTACTACTACTGCTTCTACTACAGCACCTAATACCACTATTGGTCATGATAGTACAGAGAAAAAGACGACCAAACACAACATGAATGATTTATACATTTTCAAAAAACCCTTATTTCAATTAGTTTCACAACATGATGTCTATACGTTACAATTTAACTCAGTCTCAGAGAAACTTGATGGTTTGAGAGCAGTGTATGACATTATTGATGAACAATTCAAAGATTGTAAATCTAAAGAAAAAGACCAAAAGAGATGTCCTTTCTTGAGTTATGAAAAAGAAAGAATTCAACTCTACTCTGAAAAGAAGGTTTCATTACCAAAAGAATTGAATGATGGAGACACTGCCAATCAATTATTTTCCACATGGAACTATCTCACACAGAAAGATTTTCCAAAAATTAAATCCAAAAAGAAAATCGAAGAATTATTGTCCATTGTGAATGATAAGATCTGTGAAGAATACAAACAAAAATTGAATTTTATTCAAACAGTTGAAGAGCAGGCATTAGGTGCATATTATGCCATTGCTGATTGTGTAGATGCAGACAAATCTCTATTTCAATTAGATTTTCATGTCGGAGATATATTTATACTTTGGCAAAAAGTGAAAAATGGAAAGAAATGGCTACTCGTGGTAAGTAGAAGTAGTAGTAGAAGTATTAGTAGTAGTGATCATGAACATGTTAACAACCATATTGTTGTTGAACACACATTTTCACATGTACATTCATATTCTGTAATGTATGGATATATATATATACATATACACATTCATGACAACAGCAAAAATCAGGATTGAACTTTAGTCCCATGCGTAAAATTCAACTTCTCGATGAGCTCTTACCCAATAACTTGAAAGATATGAAATCAGTGATGAGAAAACAGCAATTGGCAAAAAAGAAGAAACCAAAAACACCTAAACAAATTATTTCCATCTCAGATCACTATTGTAAAATAGAAAAAGAATTAGAAGCAGACAAAATGCTCGAAGAAATTGCACTCGAGTTGAACTTTTTATCTCTTCTCAATTCTGACACCAACTTGTCAAATTTAGAGAATTCTGGAGGAAAGAAAACATCTGAGAAGGATCGTGCAGAATTCAAAAACCAAATTAGAAAGTCTGTAAGCCCTGCACTCATTGGAGCCAATAAGGACGAATACAAACAACATGCAGATACTCTCTTTTACAAACATATATTCAATGTGAGTCAAGAAAAAGGCCAAGTAGGACTAGTTCCCACAAAAGCACTTGTTGAGCTTCCTAATCAGACGTTTAAAACTTTATTAACACTCATGGAGAAGAGAGATTCCATTGAGAATAGAAAAGTGAGAAACTTTTCAGTCATCAAAAAGGCACAACCTCAAATCTCCAACTCGTCGTCTGAAAGGTTAGGAACATCATCAAGTAATACGAGTAGCACCACGACCCCACCCACTCCGCAGGATCAACCCAACACTTCTTCCAGTAATAATAATAATAGTACTACTACTACTACTGGTGCACTGACATCCTCTTCGGAACCAGCAGCTCAAGACAAGAAGAGTAAATTATTTGGCATATTCAAAAAGTAATAACCTCCTCTGATCAATAAAGATGAGTATAACTTCAACCTCTCAAAGAACAAAATAGAGGGTTACAAAACATCCAAAATATATAAGTTAGAAGTACTGTCAATGGCGCTACAATGCAAATACAGCTACAGCAGCATACACCCACAACCGTTTCTAACGGGTTTCTCCTGAAGGAGTATCTAAGGAAGCCCATGAAGCTTTGTTCTTCCTTTCTTCTCTTACAAAAGGCGCAGTGAGTAGCCTTGAAGTTTGGTCCAGCGTACTGTCGTTTTAAGAACCTGGCCCAAAGAATATCAAGATTTGAGATGCTGTTCCAACATCTATTAACGGAAGACAATGAAACTAGAGTGGTTCTGTCCACGTACGAGAATATTTGAATCAAAATTTCTTCTGGAAGAACGCAGACGCTTGGACCGCAGTTTTTGAATTCAACAACTTGGGGGGCAAGGCTCATTTGTTTTTTAAGTTTTTGGGAAAAGCAAGTCTGTGCAGCATACCAGAAAATTCAGGAAGAAAAAATGTCTGAAAAACAAACCGGGTCATCATCATCGACGGCTCATCCACAAACCATCGCCTGCACACAAAGCGGCAACATGTGCACGGAGGAAGAAGAAGAAAAGAGGTTGCAACACTACTTTCAGAAATTTTACAAGACAGATAAACGACATCGAATTGATTTACAGTGGTTTGGGCATCCGATTAGGTATGTACGCAAAGCTATCGTGCCATTTCATCAACATGTACAATCATCATGACGATACAGCAATGACATGAACCGTCCGGTGTTAGTTGATATTCTGGTCTCTAGCAGAAAATTAAAAAACGAAGAAACATCACCAACGGAAGTACTTTTTAAAACTCATTCTTATGAAATCAAATTGATTCCAAACGAACATTTCTTTGAATGGAACGGAGGAAGAAAAAGTGGCTACACTGTCGAACTGAAATTATTCAAAAAAGTTGTGAACACAAGAAAGAAGAAAGATGAGGACTCTCAAGACTCTTTCGCAGAACACACTGATTGTGGAGTTCCTCTTATTAGTTACACTTTTACAGAAGATGTTTTCTCTAACACATGGATTTTAAATCTAATATGGCCTGACGAGAAAACAAAGATCTCATTTAGGGGTGATTTTTTCTTTTCTGTTTCTGTATTCAGAAAGGTTGATGCTGATACATCAAGAAGAATATTCACACGAGTTTCAAGTAGATTTAAGATTGTATCTAAACCTGGTGTGTACTTAAATAAGAAGAGAAAAAAGAACGTTGATGAAGAAGAAGATGTAGAAGGAGACTCGGAGCTCTTCAAAAAGTTACCGCCACCATCACATTTTATCCCAACAAATCCTTCAACTACCTTATTTGCGAACAATTCTATGGTCAATTTATTGCCAAACATGGACATATCTCACAACTCATCCCTTGTAAATCAATACTATCAACAGGTAGTGTTCGAACATGTGGCACAATCCAACCAGCATCCAATAATTTCATTCTTCCCACCACCACCAGCATCAGCTTCAAATAGTGCTGCTCTTCCATTTCCACCAAAATCATCAACACAAACAAATCAATTTTTTGGCGAGCAACAGCAAAATGTTATGCAACCTCCTAAATTTTCACTGGAGAAGACTCAAGATTTATTTTCATTCACACAAGCATCTCAATTAGCTGCTTCACAACACACCAGTACACTACTACCATCACTCTCAGATCTAGGTAATTTGACAACACCAATGAAAACCGAGCAAGAAGAGAATCCTTTTTCTCCAATCACACCCAGCACTCCAATCACTCCATTAGGTATCTTTGGAACTCATCAACCAACACCACAAAAAGGTAAGCTTTACTGCAACATATTCTTACTCAATTTTATTATGAATTCTTATTGATCTCGTCCACAGGTGTTCTAAGCCTTAATTTTTCACAAGAGGTTCCAACAAGCAACACTCAAGATCCTTGGAGTTTCTTCAATTCTCAAGAAGAGATCATGCAAGACTCAAAAAAGGATGACTTTTATTACAAAATGTTAGCCGACGAAAAACGTGTATAAATTATAATATTAACTTATTTGATCTGTTGATTGTAGGAAACAAACTCTTTATTTTGTGCGAAAATGACCTTGGCCAAGCATACTTGCTGCTTTTTGGTCTCATTAGTAAGGAATTTCTCAAAATTGTGGCAAAATTGATTTCAAAATTGTTGTGTCGTGGCGTGACAAAATAATTCACATGGTTGATGTGAATAGTGTTGTGTTGTCAGAATGCTCCTCAGGTTGAGTAAACTCATTTTCCAAAGTTGGTGGAGTTAGGTTAGCTAATTGTAAGTCTGGAACTGAATTACTAATAAGGCTACTACTGCCAAAGGAATAACCATCACAGGATGATGTTGATATTCGAGCAGGATCTCTTTCCAAGCGTTGTTCATCCAATACGTTTCCACTACTGAGCCTTGTTTTTCCAAGGTCAGTTCTATCATGCTGAGATCTTGGAGCACTATTATATTTCAAATATTTAACTTCTCTCCATTGTATGTACTCCTTTGTTTGAATGAATCTCGAGAATGCATCAAATAAATTGGTACACACATCTCTTTTGAGAAAGTCTACAAGAGTCAATGTGGACTCAACATCAATTTTCTTGGAGTGTCTTTCTTTTTCAACGAGTTGTCTTGCATGATGAGATACGTTCACTTCTAATTCGCTGTCCATACTCAAAAACTTTTCATGAATGGATTTGATATGTTTCACTCTCGATGTGGATGATAAATTGGGAATTTTATGCTCCAACCATTCCAATTCTTTGAATAGCTCTATATTTTCACTACACATTTGTTTGGAACAAAATTCATAAAAAAGTTCCAAACCAATGGGATCTCTCAACAATTGAATGACTTGTTGAGCATTGATGGATGGATATAAGGTTGAGAAGAGTGTAGTAGTACTCTCCTCGTCAGTGAGTCCTGTCTGGTATAGAGAAGGTGATGAAAATGATGATGAGAGAGAAGAAGTCGTTGTAGTTGCAGTTGTAGTAGTAGTAGTAGTAGTAGTAGTTCTCACACCATTAGTTTCAGTGTTATTGCTGGGTTGAGAGGATGACCTTTTCGATCTTCTCTTGAGTGCCAACAGTCCCGATAAATAACCAGGTCTATGAACCGATGGAGAAAGTGATTTAATTTTACCATCCAAGTGTGTTGTTTGAGAAGAACTTGCATTATTGGGAATCATGAGTAAGCCTGGTTGGGTGCTACCACTTCCGCTACTACTTCCACTACTGGCTGCTGAGAAAGAAGGAGAAATGATTGGAGAGTGATGATGATGGTGTTGACTTTGGGGTCGATGTTTGTTGTTGTTATTCTTTTGTTTGTTGGGAGAAGAGGGTTCACTCTTACTTCCTTTTGGTATATTGCCAAGTGGTTGTTGTTGATGAAGAATGGTCATGGCATTGGTGGAGTGTCTTCGTGAGGTAGCAGTTGCAGAAGAGGAATCATGATTGTCGATGGTAATTTTCATGGACATTGGAGGAGGTCTTCTGTCCACCACTCGATCACGACGTGAATGCTGGCCCGATGATTGAATTCTGTCGTGATGATGATCCTCTTCTCGATAATAGAATTGAGCCTCTGAAGAAGTGGTAGTAGGTGGCGACTTTGAGGAAGAGGACGTTCTAGTGAATAATGAAATGGTGAATCGTTTCTTTTCACCATTGCTGCTGTTATTTGTGTTATTGGAATGAAGCAGTAAGCCAACGGATGCTCTGTTTTTTGCACTTTCTTGGTTGGTTCTTTTCTTGTGCCTTGACAATGAAGAAGTCTCTGATTGTTGTGACGTGGTGGTGGTGTTGAGTTTGTTGGAAGTGGTGATCGTCGCTCGCTCTTCATTCATCACAATATCATCATTACCACTCATACCCCCATGATAGAGCATTTCTCGCTTTCGGGCAAGAGAGGATTGATTCACTCCCATGATCAAAGATTGTAATGCACTGAGAGAGTGTGTTCTCTTCAAACAATAAACTCTCTAAATCGATTGATATTGTTTTTAACAACAACCGACTCTTGGTGTATCCATGTTAATGTCACTTGCGAAAAGCTTTTCGTTGCGGCGTGTGGATAATTTGACATTCAACATTTGAATACCACATTTGAAGTAACTGCGAAACTGTTGTGCGAAAAATCAATTTACAGAAACCATCTCGAATTCAATTCAAATATAGCTCTGTCAAGATTGAAAATATAGTCTATATATTAAGGTCATGCTTACAGAACCCAGGAAAGAGAGAAAATACAATGCAAACTCAATTGAAGAAGAACATGGAATCAGAGTGCACATTGTAAACTTCATGGAGGTTTTCATTTTAATGATCACAAAAAAAAAATGTCGAATGTAAGTCTCACTCGTCATCGTCATGACCTTTCATTTTTTTCAAAATGAAAATATTCAAAAGAATGATCAAGAGGATATGCTAGATATTTATGATGATGTTCTGAGTGCTCCTATAACAGCATCAGCCATCACAAGTACTTCTTCCGATGCACAACTGTCATCCAATAATAACATTAAACTAACAACATCTGTGGTTGGCAATTTTGATGGAGGATTTGATCAAATCAATAGTCAAATTAATGACAAACTCAATGATTCAACGTATGAGGATGACTCTCATGCAACACCTTCAATTAAAATTAATAATTTACAATGGGTGAGTTGAACACAAAATGTTGTTAACAATAATCATTGATTATTTGGAATATTTAATACTCATAGTGGACAACTGATGTGTTTATGGAAAATATTCTCCAAAAATTTGGTGCGATTAAAACACTGAAATTTGAAGAAGAAAAAAACAATGGTAAAAGTAAAGGAGTTTTGAATTGTGAGTTTGAAGATAAATTTCAAGCAATGAAAGCTAAAGAAACTCTTAATGGAATGAACATTCATGACAATATAATTCAAGTTGAATATATTTCAAAAATTCCAACGTCACGGTATTCTGTAAATACTCAACAACAAAATAGAAGACAAGATTACAACAGTGGAGACATGAATGATGGGGATGATCATGAATTTTCTGGAACATCTTCACATACAAGTTCAATTGGAAGCAATGTTAGCAATCAACAACAAGCATCTCAACAGGATTACTATTCGGGCAGAGGATCTTCATCAGATACATATGATGACCGACAAAGTGGCAACAAAGGATACTATGGTGGAGGAGGTCAGAGCGGAAGTAGTCGATCGAGCATGAGCGGTGATCGGTCTTCATATCGAGGAGGTGACACTAATCGAGGAAGTGGCGATTATTACAGGTCCTCGTCATCGTCATCGAGCTACAACGCAGACAAGAAGAGAGATCGTAAGAATTATGAAACCAACACAGGAGATGGTGGTAGACGAGATCGATCATCGTACGATTCTCATAGCTCTCGCTCCCAAAAATCGCCAAGAAGATATGGAAAATCTCAGTACTACTGAAACATGCATCATTATTGAAATACAGAACTAGGATCTTAAGCATCTTTAGAACAATTAATTTAATCATTTCTCTTTCTTTTTCCAACACCTTCATCCACTGTCTGTGTAGGATCGAATGAGTCATCAGACCGTTTCTTGAGTTTAAGTTTTCTTCTGATTTTCTGAGCAGATGATGATGGATTAGTTTTCGAGTTTTGTTTTGCAACGTTACTTGTTTTTGAGTGTTGTTGGGAAGAAGGTGGGTTGGGCTGAATAGTGGCCATCTTATTTCGCAAATGTAGTTGGATGCTTGCTAAAGGGTTTGACTGAAACACGGGATGATTGACAACATTTGTAAATTGTTGAATTTCGCTTTTCATATTCTTATTCTTCTTTTTGATAACATTTGTCGTTGTTTTCTGTTGTGGTTGAGGTTGCTTTTTACTGTCTGTGGTCTCCTCTGCTAATAATTTACTGATAGGTTCAAAATTAAATGTCACTGACTCCTTATTCTTATTGGATGATTTATTCTTTTTTTTATCATCCTTTGACTTGACTTCATTGATTTTTTCAACCAACTTCATCCTCCGATCTCTCTTTTCTTGTTTTTTAAGAGTCTTTCGTTTTCTTCTAGATAGACCTCGTTCAAATTCTAACCGATCTGTTGCAGTAATTTCTTCATCATTAGAAGCTGCAGCAGAATTTGGATGTAAAGAAGCAGAATGATTATCGGACTTGTCCTCAACTTTTTCCACGAGAGTTGTATGCGATGCATCACCACTTTCTGCAACAAAACGTCTTCTTTTGAGTGTTGGTTGTTTCACGACCAGTTGTTGTTGAGAGGAATCTGTCATCATCGAGTCGGCGTTTTTCGTCGTCATTTTTTTTCTTGAAGAAATTTCACAACAAACCAATCGCACGCAAATCATCATCATCGGGAGAAAAGAGTGATTTCTTTTTCCATTTCTCTCTCAATGTCATATTCTCAGAAAGTTTTAAATTGTGGTTATATTGAAATTTAGGAACGTGAGGAATTTTAAATTTACGTAACAAGAAATAAAACAAAAATTCTCCAGTTCGGCTAGTAGAATGTTACATGATACAATCATGATTCAAAGACTTGTCACAAACCTACTAAATGAACCAACCCCATACTAAGGTGTTAAAGACAAATTTCGGAACGTCCAGTGTTGAAGATGAAGCATCCCTTGCAACCAGTGATGACATTTTTTAAAGAACGGATGACCAAGGTTCTACAAAGTTTGGCCAAAGACTATTGTGCTATGGTAACATTGTAAGAAGGTTTTAGCCATGTCTGCGTTGAATCGTACGAGCCTGGACCCAAATTTTGGTTGTTACTATTTTCTAAAAGCGGAGCAGAGTGTCCCAATGACTTGGCAATATTAATTCCTTTTGGTTTTTGATTAGCCATTCCAGGTGGTAAATAATTTGGACCAAGCAAGGTAGCTTTGTCGAGTATCTTCGTGTCTCTAAATCTCTTGCTAGATGAGGAAAATCCGTGTGTTTTCGGATCAGAAATATTAAAGCTCTTCTTTGACCAGTTTTCTGAGGTGTGATACTGTCCTACTGAAGGAAATACGTCTTTGTCTGGCTTCTTTTCTGAATGCATCGTGCGTTTAGTTCTCGATTGAAAAACAAAGGATCTTTGATCTGGTTTCCTTATATCATATTGAGAAATGTCACTGGGATTATAGGAACCTGGTGGAGGTGCTGAAGGCTTTGTTTCTCGATATGTGAATCGAGCTGTCGTGCTTCCAAAAACTCCATAACTCCCTTTTGTTTTCCTTGAAAGCTCAGATAGAAGGCTATTTGAATCGTGACTGATGTATGAACCAGGGCCCAGCTCAGTAGTGTCTGATCTGTAAATAAATCTTTCAGATTTGGAATTAAAGGCTCCATGAACTTTTGCAACATCTTGATTCGTGGGTAGGTCATTTATATCTTTTTTAAAGTATTCACCAGGACCTGGAGTATTCATGAACGATGTTGAGATTGATGCATCCAAGGGTCTTGAGGTTGTACTTCCAAAAGGCAACTGTTTTTTCTTCTCCTTCATATATTTAGGTTCTTTGGTTTCATACGATCCAGGACCCAGATTTGTTGACTTTAACTTGTCGGGTGGAATCAAAGACGATCGTTTCGTTTTTGAGTTGAAAACAGAGACATAATTTCGAAGATCGGCATGTGAAGATGAATGACCTTGATCAGAATATGTTCCAGGTCCTGGTGTGTCTTGTAGTTTGAATAGGTGTCTTTTTGTGTTGCTACTGAATATTCCTTGGTTTTTAAGACTCTTAGAATTAGTTGTGTTTTCGTCAGAAAAGTATGCCCCTGGCCCGATGGAATCATCTTGTGTTCCTTTGTACCCCCGAACAGGTGAGGATTGTCTTATTAATTCGCCATTGGGGCCTTCCTCATATCCATGAGATTGAGAATTGGCTGGAATGGATGGAGCTGTTGAAAGATGACGAGGAGAGCTCGTTCGCTTATTCTTAGGTGAGCCAGTTTTTCGTTTTAAATATTGTTCTGTGTCATGGTTAAAGTAAGATCCTGGTCCTTAATATTTTAAAAGGGAAATGATCCTTCTTAAAATCATCACCACATGCCGGGATAACACTTACCTGGTAATTCTTGGCTTTGAATAAGTGAGGACTGATTAAATCTTGATGTTGCTGACTTGAAAACGCTTGAAGCGTCTTTTTTATAAGGCTCATAAGGTGACTCTAGTGGTTTATGATAGGAACCTGGGCCTGGTGTTTGGAATTTTTCTGTAGAAGTAATTGTTTTTCTCTTTTCTGTTGATGAGAAAGGTGCCGATGCATATCGGGGAGTGCGTCCAATGGGATCATGAGATAGATAGCAGCCCGGCCCAATATTTTCTCCCGTTGTTGTTGGATTGGTTATTGATATTTCTCGTATGGATCGGGAAACCCATGCCATTTTGCTTTGCTGATGATAATTACCAAGAATGAGTCAATGATGAGTTAATCTCATAGACTGGATCGTGCGATGAAATTGTTTTTTTTAATTTTTCAAATTCAAAAACTGTTGGTTTGAGCGGCTGAAATTTACGAGAGACATGCTCGTTCATCATGAAATCATCATCCCCAAGAGAAGCTCAATGAATCGCTGAGTAAACTTCAGCCAAGGCGTAACTTTGGATTTGATCTTCCCCAAAGAATGGAGCAATCAATTGTTTCATACATTCGTCCTCTGGTAAATCATTCATTCTCTTGTCTCCATAAATAAACAAATGTTTGACTGAGTGATTTTTGGGAACTCGATCGGACAATACGCCTTGTTGTTGTTGTTCTAAAACATCTAACAGAGACATATTTCGAGTCTCTTTTGCAGTGGTGTTATTGTTTCCGTAGTGATGAATGGAAATCAAATGTTCAATACACAAATACTCTAAATTTAGGGAATGACAAAGAGAATGGAAAAATCTTCCATTGAGTAAGGTATGACCCCTAATGTCCAGAAATTCCAAGTTACGAAATTCTTTCAACATGAACGATACATCATCATCTTTCAACATGAATGTTTCAAAATTTGCATGTAAAATTAATGTGTTCAAATTTTGTGATAAATATTTCATACTCTCTACAATATTCATGTCATGCATTCCAATACAATCAATCATCTCTAAATATTGCAATGAAGAAGGAAATAGAATATTCTTTGGTAATGTACATTGGACGAGTTGGCAAGTATGAAGAGAATGATACGATGGAGAATTACATAAAAGAGACCTTGGAGATGCTGTACTGTAATACAACCTATCAGAGTGAGCAGTCACAGTGTCCTTCAAATTCATGTAATGACCATGGTTATTATTAAGATGACACTCATGAATGGTGTCATGTATAGTCTCTTGATTGTTGTAAATCTGACTGTTCACACTTGCGAAACATTCAACAAGGGTTTGATGCTCTTTCACTCGTTTCAATGAAAGATATTGTAATTGTGTAAATGGAGGTGAGACAACATCTACACGTGTTGATGCTGCATTGAATTCTTCTTGTGAAGTAGATAACTCCTCACTTTCAATGATTAACTTTTTCAATGAACGATATACTTTTCCTCGAATGATATGAAATAAATAATTATCAAATGAATTGCAATACAAGGATAATACTTCTAAGCGAGGTGTCAATATTAATAAGCTTGATAAATCATAGGCATCTGAAAGGTATAGTTTGTGAATGGTCAATTGAATTAAATTTTCATAGCAAATGACGGGCACTAACTTTGTTTTTTGAAGGAGTGAATCATAAAAGATTTGATTCACATCCACACCATTTAAACGAATATTCAAACATTTCCATAGAGTACCAAATTTGTGAATCATTCGATCGAGAGTAGATTGCATACGTGACATGAGATCATTGTAATCATCCTTATTGTTGTAATCATGATGATGGTGATGTATATTGTCAAGATGATTCTCTGTCAGTCTTTTTCTCTTGGCATTCGCAAAATTATCAAATTGAGTACAATAGATATCCAAAGGATTCGTAATGGTCACATTGGACCATAATACTTGGGATCCTAAATTGGTAAATTCACACACAGTTGAATCATCATCATTGCTTGAAGAAGAACTTGGAGCAGTATTATTGATAATACCATCAAATAACCGACACACACAAGCGAGGCTCCCAAGTTGAAATAAATTGATGAATGAAAAGATTAATGCAAGGGATTCCGATGGCAGGTCAATTAGTGAATGGCGATGACGGGTGGATTGATCGTTCATCATCATAGACTCTGCCATGTTTTGGGAACACGTGACTCACAGACCGAAATATTTTTTCCTCTCTCTATCCAGCAAAAAGTGGAACAAATTTGTTTATCAATGAATACTTTAAATAATTGTATTGGTCTCACTGGTGATTGAAGATTTCAAGTAATCTACTTTGTGTCTCTTGCATTGCTTGTTTCAAATCTCCATGTTGTACTAACAAGTTAGTGATTTTGATTAATTCATCACTGTTGTTGTTATACATGAATGGAAGTGTTTGCTCATAACGCTGTTGTTGAGTCCAATTTTCAATGGGCTCTGAATTCAAGTCAAAAATCCTTCCCATCGCACATTGCAATAAAATGTAACCAATGCTTTTAGCATTCATGGATTTCATGGAACAAGTGTCTGACTGGCTTGGAGAAATTAAAGTACGTTCCCAACATGTGGTTCCATTCTCTTGACGATGTTTTAGATTCAATAAAACCTTATTGAGGGCATCTTGATATGGACTTGTTGTTGTCGATGATGAAATGAAGTAGAATGATTCCTCTTCTTGGCCATTCTAGTAGTCTTCTTATGATTGTTATTCGTTGTTGTTGTTGTTGTTGTTGTACTCTCTAAATTCTCAATATTTTCAATATATTCAATACCTGAAAGGACAATATCCATCATCATGGAATTCTCACTTGTGATGAAATCAGTACTGCCAATAGTAGTAGTATTACACCTTGTTGTTGAATTCATTATTGTTGAATTCCATGAATGATTTTCATGTACAAGTAATACATGATCGAGTGTGAGTTGAGTATGAATGTATTGTCGATCATGCAAATATTGAACTGCTTGCATGATTTTAAAGATTAAATTCAATAATTCATATTCTGAAAAGAGATAGATATTCAGAGTACTGGAGGTGTGGTTCAATAACAATGTTCGAAGTGAAATTGGATAATATTTCGTTACAATACAATAGTAATGTGTGTTGTTGTTAGAAATATTTCTACATCCAATCGTACCCATAAATTCTTCTAATTTTTGGACAAGATATTTGTGTTGGAATAGAGAGAATTTAGAAGACTGTGTGTCGTGATGGATGTTATAGATGGTTGTTATGATTGCAATGAAATGTAGTATGGAACATACCATTTCTGTAAATTCTTTCAAGTTTGAATATTTTCTGACATGATAGATTTCACCTAGATGAGGTTCTACTAAATCCATGACTGTGATTAATTGGTTATCATGATTGGTATGATGATCATCAGAATGACAAATTTTAAATCTTGTACCTCTACTATCATTCATGTATTGTTCATGATATTTCTATAAAAATTTAATATTAAAAGATTGATATAAAAGATAATACACATGATAATACACATAATATCACACATGATAATACACATGATATCACACATGATAATACACATGATAATACACATAATATCACACATGATAATACACATGATATCACACATGATAATACACATAATATCACACACAATATCACAGTTATAGAATTCATTCATGAATATGGACATGAATATCAGTCATGTACAAACGTGAACACAACGTGAACACAAACTTACTTTCAAATAATCTCTAATCATTTCTTGTCTCTTCATGATTGAAAATGATGACATGAAATATGTATTTCCTCCTCTTCTATGTTTTGGTAATTTCACTAATAATTTATCATACCGTCGCACACATTCTTGTATGGCATTGGAATGGTAATGTTGATTGCTATTAAATACATTCAAAATATCCACAACGACATCAATACTAGGTCTAGCATTGGGATGTAATCTCAACATGCTCAATACCAATCGAATGATAAAATCATGAATCTTGTTCTTTTTCAATTTGGAATAAATAATGTAATGAGTTTCTGCTTCATTGGTTTTGATGGCTTCATTGATGAGAAATTTCGTGTGTTGAACCAAATGACTCGTTGTATTAGAAGAAGAATTTGTTGCTGCTGTTGTTGTGGTTGTGGTTGATGAAGAAGAGATGTTTGTTGTGTGGTGGTGGTGTTTGTGGTGGTGGTGGTTGTTGGCATTGTCATCGTCGTGGTAGTATTGGTAGTGGTACCAATAGTAATCGGATTCTTACCATGACTATGAACACTACTATTATTATTATTTCCACTACTATTACTTCCACTATTACTACTACTGCTATTGGGATGACGACTTGATGCAACAACAACACGTTGAGAATATTCTCTAGGATGACTCGTCATGATATCATTCGATCGATTCACTTTCATTTCAATTTGAATATCCAATGTTAGTAATTCAAATAATACACATCCCAATGAGAATATATCTGAACTCTGATCGACTTTAAATTCACCTGTAACTGCTTCAGGTGAAATAGTAATTGGAGTTCCTTTCATGTAACTCATTTCAATATCATGGACTGGTTTCAATAATCCAAAATCGCTAATGACTACTCGCATTGTATTGAAATGATTCGATGACATGGAAGACAATGATGAAAGGGACCATTCATGACTCAAATGACCACTCATACTGTAACGAATAGGATGACTAGACTTGTCACTAGTAGTAGTATTAGTAGTATTAGTAGTATTACTAGTAGTTGTAGTAGTAGCAGTAGTTGTTGTAGCGGTCGTTGCTGTTGAATTCAAGGAAGGCAATTCAATTAAAATATTCTCTGTTTTTAAATCTCTAAAAATCAAATGATTCATGTGAATTTTCTGTAGACCTAAACTAATTTGGAGTGCAACACTTGTCCAATTTGGTAAATATTTCAAATTGAGTTTCTTACAATCTAATATTCTTTGATGAAGAGTTGATTTGTAGAAGGGCATGACAATACAACATGAATATTCATCCTCTCCTTTCTGTTCAATAAATGTATCTAAATATGGAATGATATTGGGATGAGATAATTGTCTCACTTGTTCCAAGTGCCATTTGAATTCTTCTAATTTGATTCGATCAAACGTTTCTGATAATTTCTTAATAGCAACATGTCCACCATTACCATATATCATCATATTCATACTCGTTGGTCTTGAATGATTCATAGTACTATTATTACTGCCTCTACTACTACTACCTCTACTATTATTATTACTACTACTACCTCTACTACTATTATTATTACTACCTCTACTTAAAGAATCCATCATCATCATCATGGGATAACTCACACCACCACCACCACCACCACTACTCATCATCACAGGCACACATTGAAAGACAGTTCCTTCACTTCCTGATGCCAATCTCTTCAATACCATATATTGACCATTACACAGAGTATGAGCACAGACTTCACGTGCCCACATGGGTTCAGGTTGTAATACATTTAAAATTAAATATTTCAATAAAATAGAAATTTGATTTCCTTTCGTGAATTCAGGTAAATGTCCAATAATTTGTTTACCAATGAACCACATTTGTTTCATGGTATAGAGAATGAGTCGAAATTCTTTAGACCTCCACTCACTATATTTGGTTTCTTTTTGGTCGAGGATGATGTTTTGTTAAATTCTAAATGTTCACGAAGATGATCACGAATAGCATTCATTGAAGTTTGAAATGCAATCAATTCATCTTTGGATATTTTAGCATCAGGTGTTTTCACTCGATCACTTTTCAATAATAATTTGATCGCTGCTAATATTCCACACACAAACACAAAAGTGAATGGTTCGACAGGTTTTTGAGAAAGATACGAATAATACTTGTCATTGATCATTGCAATCGATCCAAATTCATGACAATCATCGACACACTGGTCTCCAACAGCAGATCCAAATCCCAATAATCGACCATCATTCTTTGCTATTTTCTTTCTTCCAAATGTGGCAGGTGGTGGTAATTGTTTACGATCGACCAATCCAAAGGCATCAATGACCATTTTATGAAGTTCATCATAATTAGAGGGAACTGTTGAGAAGAAAGTGTTGGTAGTAGTAGTACTTGTAGTACTGGTAGTAGTAGTGTTGGTAGTAGTATTCATATTCATCTTATTCCTTGTATGCAACAACTGAAGAGTCATGTTCGTTGAGTTGGCCATTACCGAAGAAGGTGAACATGGAATGTTGCCACCACCACCATATTGATCATGTCGATCTTCATTCACACTCTGCAAGATGGTATCTTGTAAATTCTGAATAAATGCTTCTATAGCTACTGTAATATTCTTTTCAAAACAAATCATTAAGGTAAATATTAATTCATTGATCGTGGTTGCATTTTGAAAGAATTTCTTAATATGAATATAATGTACATAGAATTGATGATGTGAAGAAATTAAATTGGAATGATGAGTAGTGAGAAATTCTTTGAGTCGTTGTTTCACTCCACGTAAGAAGGAATCCTCTTGTAATGAACTAGTATTACTAATAGTATTACTACTAGTATTGGATGTTGTTGCTATTGCTGCTGACACAAAGGTATATTTATCAATCCATAATTGTTGTAATTGAATTTGTTGTGCATTGTAAGCATCTGAAGAACTTGCTTTAAAATAAGATTCAAAATGTTTCAAATCATAATCTCCTAAAATCATTTGATATAAAGAGAGTGAATTAAAAAAATCAAGTAATTTCTTGTAGGTAATTTCAGAGAGTTTTGAAGTAGATTTTGAAGAATGAATAATACTACTCTTTTTGGAGTGTGAATGTTGATTCACTTGTGTTACATTGGGAGGAGTAGAATTTGAAGTGATAGATGTAGTAGAAGCATTTGAAGTCATACCAATAGTAGTAGAAGTAGAATTGAAAGTAGTAGAAGTAATTGAATTTGAAGAATTAAAACTAGTTGAATTCGTAGAAATTGAACTCTTGTGATTCACTAATGATCCATGATGATCATTGGAACAACAACTATCAACAAGACTCTTTTTCACACTACTAGCAATAGAATGAGAAACAAAATAAGGATCCAACAATTGAGCCTTACTGAATATATCCATTGGATAAATGGCACTTTTCAATACGGTTATAATTTTTCCATCAATTAAAAAATCAAAATGATCCATTCGATAGAAAAATTCATTATAATATTGAGAGACATATCGAGAAACAATACTTCCATTTCTTTTCATAATTTTACCTCGATCTGCAATAAATAAATCATTATGAAGTAATTCAGTCACATAGTGTGTGAGAAGTATCTTGACAGGTGGTGATGATATTGTTGGTATTGTTGGTATGATGATATTGATGATGTTGGCATTGTTGTGGTTGTTCGTACAGCAGCTGACCTGAATGATGAATTTGTTGATTGTAAATTTACAAATTCTCCACTACAATATACAGTTCCACAATTGGTGAGAAAATAACAATTTCGATCTGAACATTCAATATCAATGATTTGAAGAGATTGATTTTGAAAATAATCTTGTCTTGTCAATGTATCTATGAATTCTGAATGGTTAGAGTCATTTGAGTTAGCAATATTATTAGCTATTATTCCAAATTTACCACATGTATTTTCTCCATACACATAGATATTACCTAAATTAGTTAAAATCATCAAGCTTCTTCCATGACATGATATTTTGATAACAAATTCTCTTGGTAGTGTTGTACATGTTCCAAAATGAATGGGTAGCATTTGATCATCAATGAAACTAGTATGATTATTGTGATGATTAGTATTCGTTGCATTGTGATGATTATTATTTGTTGCATTGTGATGATTATTATTAGTTGTATCATGATGACTTGATAATTGTTCACTTCCTGGAAAGGTAATGGGTCGAGTATTATTCGTGATGACACATGGTTGATCTTCTTGCATTCCATGTGATTCTATCATCATGGATCGTGTGACTTGTTTGATTCTTCCACAAATCATCAATTCAAAATCTTTGGTAATCATGACAAGATAGTCTTGTGTGTGTGATGAAATGTTTTGAATATTTGTAAAGATGAGAGTTGGAGAGGAAAAGACATGATGATGATTGATTGTATGATTTGCATTGCAATGATAATCTGAAGTGTAATAATCAATTCCACATGCATAGACATTTCCATTTTCTGTTGAAATATAATAATAAATATATAACCATTGTTCATTGTCATGTTCAATCAGATATTAATATGTGTAAGAATGGAATGAAACAATTATTGAATGAAACAACAACAACATAACGAAATACAACAACAACAACAAATGAAACACAACAACAAATGAAATACAACAACAAAATGTAACAACAAACAATCAATAACCCATTACTACTACTACTACTCCCGAGTCACACACCTACCTGTTAAAAACACAGTACTCCCGATGAGTATGGAAATCTTTTTAATCTTTTCATGATGACTTGTAAAGGATGGTATTAGTGTTGGTATTTGTGTGAGTGGTTGGTTGTGACCTAGTCCTAATTGATAATTGGAATTATCACTTCCTGCCACCCATATCGAGTCATCCTCTACAATGTCGTGGGGTATGTATATGTGTAGATTGTATATTCATGTAGTGATGTATATGTTTACATACATGTAGATGTAGTATATAGATGTAGTATATAGATGTAGTATATAGATGTAGTATATAGATGCAGTAAAAAGATGTAGTATATAGATGCAGTTAAATTGAATAGTGTTGTTGTTGTTGTGAAATATTGAATAATATTATTGTGAAATATTAAATTGTTGTGAAATATATTGTGAGATATGAATAATATTATTGTGAAATATTAAATTATTGTGAGATATTATTGAATGTTGTGAAAATGAAATTCATGAGAGAATGAAATTCAATGATGGTGATATTAAAATCACTTACCCATGACAATAAAAGTAGATTCATTCTCTGAGAAGATACATTTAATTCTCGAAACATCCATCACATCTCTAAATTCATTTTTCACACCAATTAACAATAATTGATGATCATCATCATATTGATCATCCATCATCGTCATGGCATCATCCACAGTGTCATCACCTCCATCTCCACCATCATCATCATTATAAAGAATGTAATCATCATATTCATGATCATCCATAGGAACTAGAAATTGTTCATGACGTGAAGAGTGACTTGAATTTTGCATCTTCATATCGGATTGATTGGAAGGTAATGTGACGACCAATGTTGAAGATCCATTCAATTTACTGAGATGATTGATTTTATAGAATAAATATTTGAGAGGAGGTGATGATGAAGGTTGTTGTTGAGATGATGCTTTTTGGAATGACATTATGGTTGTTGTCAAAGAAGTGGAATTCGAGGAGGAAACCAATCTGGTTGATCCGTGTCGATCCCTCATTTTTTCAATGCGAGGTTCCATATCTCAAAGCCTTGCATTTCTAATTTTTCAAAAAAATTCATGTTGTTCCAGCATGTCTTCAACCTTCCTCTCCTACTGCAACAACAATGAAGAGGTCATTGTCATTAGCGACGAAGAAGAGAATAAGGTTGAAGGTCTTTTGAACGAAATTCAGGGTCATCATCATGGTGAAGGACATACAAACAGACAACATGATGATGAAGAAGAACAAGGCTCGAGTGATGATGAGGCTCAAAAAACTTCTTCTTCAGATGATGATAACGACGACAATGATGATCACGTTCAAGTCATCCATTCCATGATTCATTCTCATACAGGTGGTGATGAAAATGATGAAACATTTCTCTTACATCAATTTGTAATTCGGAATGAACAAGACCATTCATTGGTTGCACTGAACGATCTTTTGCAAGACAATGATTCTAAAGAAATTCGGAAAACCCATTCCATCGTTTATGGACGTGTCATACAAGTAAAGAATGAATTACCATCTCATATTTGTATCGACATGGACACATTGGATGGAATTGATGCATTGGATGAATGGATTTCAGAAAAAACAGAACCAGCAAACGCTTCAGAAAAAATTGGATATTTATTGGATGTTCGAGTGGAATATGAACTTTGCACTCGACCGATTCTGATATTCACCATCGATAGAAGCAATGGTTCGATTGAATGTGAATGTCTTGACCCATCCGATGAATATATTGAAATGTATGAAAAGGTGTATCAAAGATCATGTATTTGTCATTGTCTTATAGAAAGTATCAGCACTTATCCTTTAGGAACTTATTCAAAAATCATGAGTGCAGTAGGTATTAACAATTTCATAATTAGTGGAAACAACAATTATCATGAAAGGCAAAAGAATTTTCTCAATCTTTAGGTGTTACCATCACTAATAGCATTTTACTCAGTCACTTCTCATTTATTGTGAATCAATTTTATAGATTGAATGATCCACTCATTCTCAATAGCAAATTTATGATTGAATTAACAAGTCTCAAACTTAAAGGAGATTCCATTGAAGATGATCATCTCAGTAGCGACAATGATGAGTTGTATGAAGAAGAGAATCAAACATTCAAAAAACCTTTAACATTGAATACAAAGAAACGAAAACAATATTCCAACGTTACTAGGAAACATTTCAAAAGAAAAAAACAATTGACAAACTCTTCTCCAAATAGCAATGACACTCAATTCTCTCTTTCATATCTCTATGATTCATCTCAAAACAATATTATTGGATTTGAAATTAATGGTCAAACCATACTAGAAGGAGAATCCATCTATATTTTACCTCATGAACATTTATTTCCTAATTTTATGAGAGGAAATATTGATAAGAGTTATCCCTATCTCATTTATAGAGTTGAATTTAAGGGTTTAGAAAAATCAATCTATGGTAGGAGACTCTATCGACACTATGACATGGCGTTTATGTGTTTGGGAAGTGATAAGAATATTCTCACACATGATGTACATGAATTGATGATTTCTAGTGAGAATGTTATTGAGGTTTGTATCTTGTTCGTCCTCCTCGTGAAGAGTATATCCATTACACTCAATGTGATCGTTTTATAATATCCATTACACTCAATTTGATCATGGATCGTTTTATGTGATCTAGTTACCCATCCAGAACTATTTCATTCGTAAATGTTTTGTATTTTACTTGACCAGTGCTGAAGAATTTGTAGAAATTTCTAATGACATTCGTGAACGTAGGGATGTATTCTATTGTATTAGTTCTGTTACTATATCCAATTCATTTAAATCCTATCAACTATCACCTATTGATCAATTATATATTACAAGAATGTTTGAATTAATCGATCGATATGCTGAATATCTCTATGAAAATTTAATCATTGAATTAGGATGTAAAAAACCACTCAAAGGAATGGATGTCTTTTCAGGATGTGGAGGACTCTCTTATGGATTACATAAGGCTGGTATTCAAATATGTTATGCTGTTGATAGTTCCATAGATGCAATTAATAATTATCAATTGAATTTTAAATCATCCAACACATTTCAAAAAAACGCATCTAAATTCTTACGCAAAATTAAGATGATTAACAAATTGAGAGAAATTTGTGGAATGAACTATGAAATGACAAGTGATGATACACTGCATCCTACAAATGGAACAACCTCATCTAGGGATATTCACAATACTATCAATAGTGATACTTATGCCAATAATAGCATTACGAATAATCAAAAATCTTCTTCTACCATTTTAAAAATTAAGAAATTTAGAGTTCATCATGACCGAATGGAATTTAAAGTCATTTGGGATAACACCATTTTGAAAAACAAGCAATGGATTTATTTTTCTCAATTACAACAACAAGCCCCAACTATAAGATGTTACTTTCAAAATTTCTAGAGAAGGTATAGTAGTAGTATAGATTCATTTGAAAAAATTTGTTGCAACAATTCATGTACATATTCTATAATTGAACAACTTAGAAATACCATGACTATCCTTATCAAAATGAAATTGATGTACTCGTTGGTGGTCCTCCTTGTCAAGGTTTTTCTCTTCTCAATCGAAAGAAAGATAACACAACGTCCATCATGTCTCAAGAAAAGAACAAACAAATTCTAACCTTTATTAATTTTGTAGATTATTTTAAACCTAAATATGTATTAATGGAGAATGTTACTGGAATGTTAATGAACAGTGATGTATTTGGTAAGTTTATTATTTGTTGTTCCATCATTTAAATTTATTGTTCCATCATTTAAATTTATTGTTCCATCATTTCATTGCATTTTTCAAAATTTTATTTCAAACACTGCTTGAAAACTTTGAATATACACACACAGATGTTCCAAAATTCATCATTTCTAAATTCAAAGACATTGGCTATGATATTCGAATATCCGTATTCAATGCCATTCACTTTGGAATCCCTCAATCTAGGTCTAGATTATTCTTTTTGGGTCAAAGAACATCAACGACGAATCTAAACACTCATTGCACGATACAATTTCCAATTCCAACTCATGCTGGAAGGGTGAACTCTTCCGTACCTAATGTTTTTAAAAGTTTATTATATTCGTATCCTAATGCTATTCAAAGTGGTTCAATGCCACCTGTAAATTTAAGAGACTACATTTGTGATTTGAAACCATTGGAAGAAAATGATTCTCATCCACGAAATGTGAATTCTGATCATCATTCAAAAGATGTGAATCATTCCTATCCAAGAGAGGCTCTCACGGTGTATCAAAAAATTGCCCGAAGAGGATGTGATCGTTTAACGAATATGGAGTACAGAGAATACAACAATTCATTTCTTACAAAATCAGTGATTCGTTGCTTACCAAGACGGTCTGGGGCTACCATTGAAGATTTGGAATTTGATTCATTAAGGATTGCAATTTCAAAAAAACAAAAATCAAAGAAATCCTTCAAACGGTTGGAATGGTCGAAACCAAGCTCTTGCATCGTGTCGAATATGAGTGTCACGCATTTTGAATTTATTCATCCTACAGGTAGGTTTTAATGTCTAAAAAAATCTAACCTCTAGACATACCAAAAGAAAATCGAATTTTAAGCATTCGAGAGTGTGCGCGAATTCAAGGTTTTCCAGATACTTTTGAATTTGTGGATGATCAGGGTCCTTTGTGTCGCTCCCAAAAATTAAAAGAAAAGTATACACAAATTGGGAATGCTGTTCCTGTCGTTTTTGGATTTCAATTTGGAATTGAAATTAGAAAAGCGTTTATCAAGAGCACACAACCGAATGACCATTCGATGGTACAACATCACATATCAATCATTTCTGAACAATTAGAACGAATACTGAAGGAATCGAGCGAAAACGCTAATAGGACAATTGCTGAGTGGTCAGAGCAAGACTTTGAGATATCCAACGACTTGCGAGAAGGTACTACTTTGGAATTTCGAAAGGCAGAAAAGGAATTCCACAACAGTGATGAGTTTGTTTCTCAATTTCTAAATGTGCAACTCGAGCAACCCTCCTCCAGCCTGTCTATGGATGAAGATTCAGATGATCACATGGTTGAAAACGACTTTGAAGGATCTCCATTGGTTTGACACATCAATGCTTATAAAACTTCATCATCTGAATCGATGAATATGGTTTCTCTTTGTGTAGTTACATGTGAGATTTCTTCGTGGTCATCAGGTATGGAAATGATGTTTTGCATGGAATTCATAGATGATGACACCCTTGATTGTTGTTGAGAAGGTGGTGGTCGCATCATTGATTCGTCATCAGCGATCAGAGAAATTACAGGTGTGTGGTTGGGTGGAGAGGAAGAAGATGCTTGACGTTGAGGTGGCATGTTAGTAGAGTTCGTATAAGCAGTTGAATTGAAAAAGAATGAAGGAAGTGATGAGTGTTGCTGTTGCGGTACTGCACTACTACTACTGCTTGATCCAATGATCCCCAATGACGTGTTTGCTGTTGGTTGTGAAAATTGTTGTGGTGTCTGAGTTTGAGAAAATGGTGTTTGTTGTTGTGTGGATGCTGTGGGAAGGCTAGTTCCACCACTACTGCTATTGCTGCGAATATTACTACTACTACTACCACTGCCACTACTACTACTCGTATTACTCTCATGAGCCAGCTGTGTTCGAAAATACATATTGGACAGTCTAGACCAAATATCTGACAAGGCAGATGTAGCATTCCTCTCTTCTGCACTGTACACCACGGATTCATCCTCTCGAGCTTGCATGAATTGTTGTAATCTTGCCAATATGGACAATCGAGAAGTATCTTGAGAAGATGATGATGTTGGAGGAATCCATCCACTATTACTACTACCACTACTACCACTACTACCACTACTACCACTACTACTCAAACCACCACCAGCATTGATACTACTACCGCTATGAAGAATTTGATCCATCATGGGTAATCCATTCAACATCATGGACATCATTCCATCATCATTTCCATCAATCATTGTGTTTCGAAGTGCATTCAATAAAATACTTGGATTTTCTCGAACTTGTTTTCTTCTCTCTTCATAAATGGTAAATGTTTGTTCTTGTTCATTTTCTTGTAATCTCAAATTATCATTTTCAACAAAGAGTGAATCATAGGGATAGACGGTTTTGATTTTTCGTTCTACATTGAATTCTCCTGTTGTGAGTGATTCCTCTGGTGTATTTGTATTATCGTTATTTGAAATATTCCTTGAATGACTTGAATTACTACTCATTGAATGACTTGAACTCATTGAATTATTTGAATTACTACTACTACTCCTTGAATGACTACTTGAAGAACTACTACTGGTCGTATGATTCATAGAATGATTCTTGTTCATCAAATCTTGATTCTTTACATCATCATTGTGTGAACATTGTTCATCAGAGACATCCACATGAACAGGTCTCAATGGATCAATTTCTTCACTTTTCGAATCATAGGTCCAATGAGTTCCTAATAATTCTTTTAAAATTTCATCATCTTGATATCTTTTAGGATTCAATAAGAGCTTGTCTGTGAGTGTTTCTTCAATTCTTTTAGCTTGCTTAATAATTTCCAAATCATCCTTCTTAAGAAATAAATCAGGTGTTTGATCATCGACAACTCTTCTTGCAAGCCATGCTTTCGCTGTACTTAGATTGAAAATCTTTTCTTCAGCAGATCCATAGGTGACTAATCGATAGACATACACTGGTTTTGTTTGTCCAAATCGATACGTTCTAAATAAGGCTTGTTTATCCCAAGTATCATTCCATGAAACATCATAAATAACTACTCGTGTAGCAGCAGTTAAATTAATTCCTAATCCACCTGCTTTGGTACTAATTAAAAAGACATGAGCTTGAGATTCTGGTGTAAATGCATCAATCATGGCTTGTCTCTTTTTAGAATTTACACTTCCATCCAATCGAAAATAATCTTCTCCTTTTTTTAACACTTTTACAATGGGTTGTTGAGAGAGATCAGTTCCAATGACAAGTGGTGTTTTTGAAAATACTTTTTCAATGACACTCAATGTCTCTGTATATTGTGAAAAGACTAGAATCTTTTCATCATGTACATAACACTTTTCAATGAGTCGAATCAGAAATTCCATTTTCGCACTCTTTTTAGCATCACCTTGTTGATAATCGGGTGAGAGAACAGGTGCTGCCCAAAACAACGATGATGCATCAAATGCATGTTCAGCTTGTTCCATGAATTGATCAAATTCTTGTTCCATTTGTGCATCATCCATGTCTGTATCGAGTGAACTTTTGTGTTTCTTTTTTTTTTGTGAAGAGTAGAAATGTAATTCTTGAGGAGTGTCCTCATACGGGAGGTCTTGTGGTGGATGGTTGAGGACAATTTCAGAATCATGCATGTCATGATGATTTCTTATTGTTGTTTCTAGGGTAGTTGTTGTTATACTAGTATTATTGTTACTACTACTATTGTTACTACTATTGTTACTACTATTGTTACTACTACTACTGTTACTGTTACTACTACTGGTTCTACAAGTCTCTTCCATAATTTGTTCAAGTGCACTCTTCCTTGATGGTTGAATGTCTTGCACAAGATCTTGTGGTGTTCTTGTTGTATTTGATTCACTCTTTGGGGTGAGTGGACTCAGAAAATCCATATTCAATAATTCATCATCATCATCAATCACAATGCTGGGTGTTGAGGATCGAGAGGATGAACAAGATTCTTGTTTCATGAGGGATGACGTGATATTCAAACTGCTATTCCTATGAATACTACTATTACAACTACTATTACTGCTACCAGTATGAGGAGAGGTCATTCTCTTCTTTCTTTGACCACCCATCATGGTGGTGGTACTGAGAGGTGTTCGAGGTGATGATGATGATGACTGGTTTACTCTTAGTCGAGTCCAATCACCACCACCACTAATACCACCACTTATACCAGTAGTAGTAGTAGTAGTAGCAGTAACACCATTCTTATTTTCATGAGATTTGATGGATTGTTGCTGAGAATTGGGTGGAATGAAAGTAACATCTTCGATTGGTGGTTGTTGCGGCGGTTGTTGCATTTGCTGTTGTTGTTCATGCCATTGTTTCAATTGTTCAGTATCTTGATGAGTGAGAAAGACTCCACCACCACTACCACCACCACCACCATTGCCATGGCATCGTCGATGTTCCAAATCGGACATGTCAAAGAGTCCTCTCTTATGACAATAAAGAAGTACCAAATCAGGATGATTGGTAATCTTATTCATGAGTACAGACAAGTAGAATAATGTTTTGGACTGTTTTGCAAGTTCTTCAGTGGTGAGTGGACGTGTCAAGAGTTGAGGATTGAAAAAGTGAGAACTTCCCATACCACTGCCATTACCGCCATTTCGTTCTTCTTCAGCCATTCTTGCCTCTGCAAAGGCTTGATATAATTTGGCTTGAAGAGGTGTGACTCGAAATGAAATGACATATTCGTATTTGGGTGGTAAACTTTCTCTCAATACTCGTTGATCTTTTCGATGTACAAAACTCTCCAATTCATGAACCAATAAGAAACTACTCTTTTTCATTTCTTCAATTTGATTAGAATCTGAATCTTTTCTCATTCCTGATTGAATGGGTTGGGAAAAGAAATGAAAGAATTCTTCTCGTGTCCAATGAAACTCCTTAACCCAATTAATCATTGAATAATATTCCATGAGATTGTTTTGAATGGGTGTACCTGTGAGAGCTATACGTTGTTTGGTTTTAATGAGAACGAGTGCTCGATTTAAATAAATATCTGCATTGGAACACATTCGATGAGCTTCATCAACAATGACTAGATCACATGAGGTAATGAGTTCAGTGACTGCATTCTCAAAGTCTTGACGTTCTCTCAATTTCTGTTCTTGTTTTTGAATATTTTTAGAAAGATCTTTGATGAGTGCAGTGAGGCTAATGAGAGTGTGTGTTGTTGTTGTTGTTGAGGTGATGGAAGGAGGAGGGGTAGTAGCAGCAGGGGTAGTAGTATTAAGAGTACTTGTAGTAGTACTTGTAGTAGTACGGGTAGGGGTAGTACTAATAGTATTGGTACTACTAGAGGTATTTGAAGAAGAACTTGCAGTAGTACTTGTTCGTCGTCGTTGCAAGAGTTGAGCGTGTTGTTCTGTATACTCTCTGAGAGCTTGTTTTTGATCTTCCAATGAATCGATTTCTTTTTGTTTACCATATTGTCCTAAAAATCGATGAAATAAATTAAAGGATAAAATGAGCACTCCACCATTGTCACTCCAATCTTTAACAATTTCTAATCTCTTTTCATGTGTTCGAGTATATTCATCAATTAAATAAATTGGTAATTCAGAATTGACACAAAGTGATAACCATTTCTCATATTCTAATTTCCAATTCAAAATGACACTTTTTGGACATACAATTAGAATTTTTCTACCCAAATTTTGTGTCACATATAAATAACTGAGTGCTACCATTTGAAGTGTTTTTCCAAGACCCATCGAGTGAGCGAGAATACAACCCTTATTTTGAGATATTAATTTCCAACAAAATCGAATACCTTCCATTTGATGAGGTTTAAGATAGTTCAAAAATCCACCATGAATGAGAACAGGTTGTTCGAGACCATTTTGTTGTGTCACGTTAATAATTCTATCAAATTCTGAGAAACCACAACTTTCATCTTCTTCTATTGTTACAGGTTTTTTCTTTTTCTTTTTCTTTTTGGTTGTTGAATTGGTATTATTGGTATTATTGGTATCAGAAGTCATGTTGGATGCATTTAAATCAGAAGAAGAGGATGATGATACATGACTGGATGAGTGAATTGTCATGGATTGTTGTGGTTCATTCAATTCGTCTTCGGTTTTCATTTGATTTTCATATTTTCTTTTTAACGCTTCCAAATTTTGTTTTTCAATTTCTTTACTTTGTTCAAGTTCAATGCGTGCTTCTTCTCTGTTTTTAGCGGCCATTCTACGCTCTTCTTCAAGTTCTTTCTTTGTTTTTCGTTTCTTTTTTTGTTTGTTAGTGCGTGATGATTTATTATCTACCTGATCATCATCGTCCACAATAAATTCCGATAGGTCATCGGTTATGATGTTGTTGTTTTGTTCATCTTCCTCTAGATGGTCCGAGCTGGATGATGGGTTGTTTTTTCTCTTTCGATTGTTGTTGGTTGAGTTAAGAGTATCATGATCGTATATAAAATCGTCACTGAAATTAGTCTTGGTTCTTCGTCGAGAAGAGCGGCGAGGTTGCTGTTGGCTCATATTTTTTTTGGTCCAAGTCGGTTGAATGAAAATACGCTTGAGTTGGCCCTGATTTTAAGATAATGAAAAATTTCATAGGCCAAGCTACAAGAAGAACTTTTCGCTGGAAATTTTAAACTTGGCACAATTACAACTCAAACAAAATCGTTTTTTGTATCAACCTCCAACTTTCTTCTTTGTTTTATGTAGACCCTCATTGGTCTTCTCTTTTCCTCTTAATCTGCTTGATGTTGAAACAATCAATAGCTTTCCATGTGTTCTTAATTTTGCGCTCACATAACTGTCACCAACAAAGAGTATGTATAACTAGAATGCATAAAGCATCAAGAATCATGTTCGTTGATTGAAAATCGTCGGGGTTGAAAAATGACCAGAATATCATTTTGCCTTTACCTTTGATCGGGTTGAATGTAGTAATCAAAAACAGATCATAAAGTTAAGAGATTTCTTGTCCTTTGTTATGAAATAAAAGTAAGTGAAAAAAGATCTACATCTGTTGAGTGCGGTAGAAGTTTGAACAACCTCACCATTTTAGTTTTTCATTTCGCTACATCTCCGCGGCTCAAGTATGTTATGTAACTTCAAACAATAATAGATTAATACCAATGGGTTAGTTGCTGTCTCCTCTCCAGGAAGTGTCGCTTCTTTGGAGATGGAGTGTCAACCAACAACCTTTATTGTTGTACAGTTGTCCCGAGAAATGGATACTAGAATGTGATGAAAAAACTCAAATTGCTCTGAGAAAAACCACATTGAATGGATAATAGCTCTGGGACGAATATAGATCATATAAATAAATTTGTTAGTAAACATCAATCAAATCATCAACAAAAAGTTAATTTTGAAACAAATCAAGAATATTCAAGTCTACTTCACCACAAGTGATCATAAAAAAAGGTTAGCTCAATAAAAATTTGTTAAATAAGAAATTGATATAAACCATGTTCCTTGAAAAACATCGCATTAATGCGACGAAAACATCGTTGAGCGAATCAACGACGGATAAAATTTAAAAAAGATCGTGGGAAAAAACCCATCAATAATGGCCAAAGCCAATCGAAGACACAAAAGTGTCAAAGGAAATCACTGAGCAAATCAATGATACATAAGGCAAAAGCCAATTAATACAACACAAAGTGTTGTTGAATTCTAAGTATATAATGGGAGGGAAGGGAGGGTGTTGTTGTGGTGCCAGACTGTTGGGAAGCTGCAGTAGTGGTATTAGTTTGCTCTTTAGAGAGCTGTTTTGGTTGTGGATTTGTTGACATTTTTTAGCCATACTTTTAGTCAACCTTATTGTTTTCGTTACAAAACACTTCCGTTCTTTTCAGAACATTCAATGTTTTTGATTACTACATTCAACCCGATCAAAGGTAAAGGCAAAATGATATT